TTAATTAGAAGAGCTTCATAAAAAGTAATGAAGGTCATATTTAATAAAAATATTAAGAATCTTAATAGGCAAATATAATATTAAGAATTTGGCACTAATTTAATTAAAATCTTCGTTAATTTAATTAAGTCGTTTTTTGAGTGTATAATGATTAAAATATAGGGCTTAAATAAATATCAAAGTTTGAAAATATTAGATGCTTACCTCTTGTGAGCTCTTTCAACAATCAAATATGCAAGATATATGATATAATTCACTGAAGTCAGTCCCTTTTATATACGGCAATGCAAGTTAAAACACGATCGCTGCAGCAGGCTCGTAATCGCTTTTCTTGGAAACTTCATTGTTGGTACTTAAACAAAAAGTGCTCTGATATCCAAAGTCGCCTGTTGGGGTTTAATCCGTGTATTGAACCAGTGTTCCAGATTTAAATATAAATATATAAACACATATGTACAACATACAAATATACATAGAAGCACACACAATACACGCACACGTCTTCTCTATCACAAAGCTGTGTAACCACGCGCACACTCGTCACACTACTTGTATCAAGTGACTAAGACGATACAATGCTTACACAACAATGCGCGCAGAGGCGACTGCAGGAATGAACTCTCATTGCAGGTACTTACACAAAAAGCGCTCTGATATCCAAAGTCCAAAAGTCGCCGAATTTTTTATTTCACTGATTTTCCTAAAACTTATATTACTGTCAGATGCAAAAATCAGATTGGACAAATTTGGACATTTTTACTTACATTTATTTTAATTTTTTCTACGTAGTAAATTTATCCACAATCTATGATATTTCCATATAAATAATTATATTTTAGCTCATGAACTGACCTCGTGGGCCGTAGTTTGGTGACCCCTGTATTAGTGTATCATATATCAAGCCAGTTGGCTAATAGGAGTGTTATCTTAACAAGTTGATTTACCATATAACATGTTAATTGGGCTGAAAGAATGTTAACCTACTCTTTTTTTGAGGTACTAGTTGGCTAGTAGGAGTGTTATCTTAACAAGTTGATTTACCATATGATATGCTAATTGGGCTGAAAGAATGTTAACCTACTCTTTTTTTTGAGGTACTAGTTGGCTAGTAGAAGTGTTATCTTAACAAGTTGATTTACCATATAATATGCTAATTGGGCTGAAAGAATGTTAACCTACTCTTTTTTTTTTTTTGAGGTACCAGTCTCTGGTGTCTTAATTTATACACTTATTTTGGTCAAAATTTACTGTCTACACCATGTGGCTGAAGTATATATATATTATTTTCTTTTTTAATACTGAAATACCTTTCTCAGAAAGAAACAAAACTTCATTTTCCTTATATTAGCTAGCAGAAGTATTTGTCCTTTAGATGATCATTCAACAGCATAAGGGAGTTACAGAAAGTTGGCATGGCATAACATGTGACCCCAAATGTGCATTATAATAACATTAGGTTTGCCACTTTGCAATTGGTGATTTGCTGTTGTACTGTGATAAACAATCAACATTAAGCCCATGTGAGGAGGGGTATGCATTGAGGAAATTCAAAAATCTAAGCCCATTAAGACACTCCCTGGATGGGGTTTACTATTCTGTGTGATGTTAGTGCTGCTTGAACCAAAACTGCGAAAGGAGATATTGAGAAGAGAGACCAATAATTAAATAACATGCATTATATCAAGATTAACGTGCTAAAACAAGCTGACAAACAGGTGTACCAAATTAACTTATCCTATTTACTGGAATGTCAATTTTTTTTTCATCATCTGGGTCATTTTCTGTGATTTGTGAAAATCTGATTTAAAAATAGGGGGGTGTCAGCCTACTCTACTATGATGTTCCATGTACTTGTGTTGTTTTGTAAACAAAGGTTCCGACATATAATTACAATGTGACTCCCTCATTGGCCACTCTCCACAGAGCATTTCACTGCACATGTGCTGTACAGTATAGCTATGGCCACCTCCATCATGCCCATGTGAAGACAGCAATTTGTCAGGTAAAGTTGAAATGGAATCTATCGAAATCCATTTTTATAAATCACTATCCAACTCCAAAAACATAATCAGTAGACCACCCTCTTTTCATATGTCGACATATTTATTAGATATGTCGAACTATTTATCCTAAAGTGAGCTATGAAATTTGGATGAAAACTTTGTTGGATTTATTTCATCACTGAGCCAATCAGTCACATTTTGACAACTGCATGGAACTATTCTAGTCACATGTTGTAATGTAAATGGACACAATATCTTTGAGATTATAATTCTTGGACCTAGAGGAAATACTTTTATTTTGAAGGCTGAAAATTTTCACGTTTAGGCAGGAACTTGGCTGGTTTTGTGTGAGCGATAATAGGGTTATTTACTAACATGGTGAATACAATGATCAACTATTTATTCTTCATGAGTGATGAACCAAAAAAGATAACCTCTTTACTAAGGAGAAACAGCGAATTTTTCACAGGATACTGTGCACCTGAAAGTATTCATATTTTTTGCCCTAAACATGCTCAGAATTGTTCTGAGAACACCTAATTTACTCCCACTATGTGCTCGTAGACCGCTTCTTGGGATTTCAGAGTTTTTTATTGTTTCTAATTGACATCCATGCATTTAGATTAAATTGAGCAGTTTAGTATGTAAAACAAATTGAATGCATTTTTGTGTAAGGATGTAGAGCACCAGATGCTGTTGTAGCTAGTGATTTGTTCAGTAGTAATGTCATGTTTACTATGTTAGTAAAAAAAATGCTTATTTTTTTCATAATTCCCATAAATGTTGTAAAACACATGGAATTATGATAGAAAGTATTTAAACAATTTTTAATGTATAAAACTTAGGACCCTTGTTTAATATTTCAAAAACAATATAAATAATATTTTTTTTGTCTTCTTCCTAGGACAAAGAACCAAGGGGTATAATACCCCTAGAAAATGTTCAAGTGGAGGAGGTTGTGGATCGAAACAGGAGTAACTGTTTTGAGTTGTTTTCAACTGGAAGTGATATCATCAAAGCATGTAAGACAGACTCTGAAGGTAAAGTGGTAGAAGGGAAGCACACAGTTTATCGTATGTCAGCTTCTACACCCGAGGAAATGACAGAATGGATTAAATATATAAGGTCTGGGAAATAATTACATCAGTATTTTTTGTTTTTTTTATGTTTGACATGTAGCCAACCTGTCAAGAAACTGTTTTGAAATATTTGGAATGCAATAAAGAACTACAGTGTGACAAGGAGAAATTAAATATTGGAAGTTAGAGTTTCATAGATGTCTTTAAGAGAGTTGAAGCTACAGACTATAATATTATTACAGTACAGCCTGAGTTTGAGACCTTTAAAATGGAGTATATAAGATGTTTAGAATAATATACAAATTGGAAGCTAGGTTGTTGGATGTTGACCTTAGAGATTAGAAGCTAGATTGTTGGATGTTGACAGTAGAGATTGGAAACTAGGCTGTAGGAAGTTGACAGTGGAGATTGGAAGCTAGATTGCAGGATGTTGACAGTGGAGATTGGAAGCTAGATTGCAGGATGTTGACAGTGGAGATTAGAAGCTAGATTGTTGGATGTTCACAGTAGGGATGGGAAGCCAGATTGTTTGTTGGATGTTGATAGTAGATTTCAAACATGATTGTTGGATATTGATAGTAGAGATTGGGATCTAGCTTGTTGGATGTCGACAATAGAGATTTGAAACTAGATTACTGGATGTTCACAGAAAAGACTGGAAGCTAGATTGTTTGGTGACAGTGGAGGCTGGAAATTAGATTGTTGTATGTTGACAGTAGAGATCAGAAGTTAGTTGTTGGATTTTGAAAGTGGAGATTGGAAGTAAGGTTTTTGGATGATGACTTTGGAGGTTGAAAGCTAGATTGTTTGATGTTCAAAGAATTGATTGGAATCTAGATTATTTGTTGGATTTTGATAGTGGAGACTGGAAGAAAGGTTTTTGGATGTTGACTTTGGAGGTTGAAAGCTAGGTTGTTTGATGTTCAAAGAATTGATTGGTAACAATATTGTTAGATATTTGCAGTGGAGATTGAAAGCTAGATTGTGGTATTGACAAAAGAGATTAAAAACTAGATTCTTGAATCATGACAGTAGAGATTGAAAACTAGATTATTGAATCTTGACAGTGGATATTGGAAGCTAGATTGTTGGATGATGACAGTAGAGACTTCAAGCTAGATTATTTGATGCTAACAGTAGAGATTGAAAGCTAGATTGTTGGATGTTGACAGTTGAGATTGGAAGCTAGATTGTTGGATGATGACGGCAGCACTTGGAAGCTAGGTTGTTGGATATTGACACTTGAGATTAGAAAGTAGATTGCTGGGTGATGACAGTAACACTTGGAAGCTAGGTTGTTGGATGTTGACAGTAGAGATTGGAAGGAAGATTGGTGGATGTTGACAATAGGGATTGGATGCTAGATTGATGAATTTTTAAAGTAGATTTGAAGCTAGATTGTGGTATGATTAAAATAGAAAATGGAAACTACATTATCAGACTATTGTTGATAATACAGATTTGGTAGTAGACAGTGGTATTAATTGAACTAGAAAGTAGAACTGTAAGAATGTTATTAACATTTTAAATTAGGTAGGTATTGAAAGTTAGATTGTTGAAAATAGAAAAAATAATCTCGACTGCTAGATGTGTAGAACAGAAATTGGAAATTAGATTGATATTTAGAATTAAAAATAATAGACAAATTGCTGTATTAATCTTTTTATGGGTAAGAGAAAAACTTAGTGTGGAAATTAAACTAGTAACTATTATTATGGTTTATAAAGAAACCAAATGTATCTCACTCTGTACTGAAATAATTATTTTTTAACATTGTTATATTTTGATTTGGAAGTACTAATCTTTTGTTTTGTTTTTACAGGCAAAGCATCAGTCATAATCCTTTTTATGACATGCTAAGTGCCCGAAAAAAGAAAGCGCAACATCTGTGAATAATCATAATTCTCTCTCTCTCCATGGTGAGAAATGTATACCAACCTGCATTGCAGTTTACAAAACTCTGCTTTTTGAAACTAACAAGATATTCTCCTATTGGGCTAAAACAGAAATCAAATGAAAGTAGAAGATTTGTGATCAGCAATCCTTGAATGGCATGTTGATGAATGATGAGAATTTTTTGTGTCTAAAAGATGATACTGAAAAAGTTTGTATTGTTGAATGGAAATTAGCAGTGTAATTAGTGATCAAGCCACTCCTACTTACTAGTGGTAAAAAAGATGGTTATTGGTTTTACAAAATGTGAATAGTATAAAAACAAGTATGTTCTGTACATTTAGGATTACCAGAAGCTATGTTTGTACAGTAGCTAGTGGCTAGTTAGAAGATATAAACACTTGAAACTAAATTTGTTCTATACTTAGAATTACAGGAAGTTACATTTTGACAGTATTCTAGTTTCATAGATGGTGATTAGTTAGAAGGTCTAAACAGTATAGACTGAGTTTATTTTGTACACTTAGGATCACAAGGAGCAATATTTTGACAATTTTCTGGTATTATAGATGGGGAATTGTTAGAAGATATATAATATGAAGAGTTTAGAGTAAGTTTGTTCTGTGTAATGAGGGTTACAAGAGCTGCATTTGGGCAGTAGCTGGTGACTAGTTAGAAGATATAAACGGCTTAGACTAAGTTTGTTCTGTAAATTTAGGATTACAGGAAGTTACCTTTTGATAGTATTCTGATATCATAGATGTTGATTAGTTAGAAGAACTTAGCACTATAGACTAAGTTCCAGAGGTGCACGTCTCAATTATACAGTTTTGACGAGTGGATCCTATAAAAGGAATTGACAAATTGGGAAAGGTAAAATATGAACAGTTAAGTCTAAAGTTGTGTTTCTCAACCTCATGGTCCATATTCATTCTAAAATGGTTTGCCATGGGATTTCCATATTATAACAGGGGGCCATGTAGGTGAGTCGTGTGGGGTTCGACTTCAACACCAGTTACAAGTACATTTCTTTTAAATCCAGGTATACAGTCACATGTGGAGTACACAAGGTATCAACTCGAGGAAGTTTACAGTTAGAATAAAGAATTGACATGGAGACTGAGATTCAAAAACACAAATAATAATTTAATTCAATTTGCTAAGATACTCAGCTACATCAAGATTACCAAAAGTCTTGAAAAGTTTATATACTAAAATCATCAAAATCTTCTATCTGAATGAGTAATTGTTCTGTACTTAAACCTTCAATAATATTCATCAAATCTCTCACTATAACAAATAGATTATCAATTAAGACATTACATGAAATACACTTAAACATAATTTACTTTATGAGTGCTCCTTAACGTTATACATTTTACATCAGTTCCTAACTATGCTATTCGATTGAGAGAGGTAGCAATGACTACTAACATGGAAGTTGTACAGTGAGTATTTTTGATACTATGTAGAATAGACATCTTCAATGATGTTGGTTGTTCAGGGACAGTAGGGCAGGCAACATCTAGCCAGAACAGACATGGAGTCAGCAGCTTCTTTCTCAGTGTCTTTCTTTCTTTTTGTCCCAAAATGCAACTTTATATACATAGTTTAGTGTGTTTTTACAATGATTCAAATAGCTTTACATGCTTATTTTGCAAGTAGTTCTTTTGTCCATGTCTTCCTTCTGATCAAAGTTCCACCAGTGGTATCTTATTTTCTTTTTATAGCACTTATTTCCTGCCATTAATGAAGATAACATAAACTCTCCTGTAGCTTTCTCTCTGCTAATGATGCATCTATTTATGTAGATAAGACAAACCACCAGTTTATATTACAGGCTGGAATGCATCTTGGTTTATACTTGAGATATACATTTTCTTTCGTGGTCAAGCATCATTATATAACTACTGTAGAACTACTGTTATATCTAGGGAACTTCCTTCTGAAAGTTCAAGCCTTTGGGGCTGTTTGATTCTCTGCTTTTGGCATTGGTCTGCAATTCTGGCCATGTGGCCTTCAATTCCACAGCTTATTCTTCTTGCTTTTCCAGTTTGTTATATCATTTCTTCTACTGCTCTCTATACTTATAATAGAATGCTGGGGCTTGTAAATCAGTTTTTTGTGTAGCTACTTCAATTAAATCCAGCAAAGTTACATCAGGCATGATCGCATCATTTATGTTTCTTCTAGTTACATTACTGATCAGACCTTGCTCATAATCTGATTTCAAAGTGTCCTCTATCATCAGTTCATTTGGGTTTCTATATGTTCTTTGCAGTCTGTTACCAAATTCTTGTAGCATATGCCCAAATACTCTGACTGACTCCCCTCTCTACTAAGTCAAACTATTTATCTGTGTCAGAATTATGTTAGTTTTTCTTGCTTTCTGTACTTCAGTACTAATCTATGTGCTAAATAGTGAAAATCTGCAGTTTCTCACAGTTCATCATAAGTTCTAATGTAACATTTAGCTTCTCCTGCTGTTCTTGATCTTAATATATTTGTTTTTTGAGTATCTGTCCAACCCAAAATTCTAGCAGCTTCATTTAATGTATTGATAAAACTTTCAGTGTCCTCATCAAGCTTACCATGAAATAATGGTATTACACCTGTTAAGTGCATAGCTTTCTATCTGCTACTGATCATCTATTTATGTAGATAAGACAAACCACTGGTTCATATTACAGCCTGGAATGCATCTTGGTTTATACTTGACATATACATTTCCTTTTCTGGTCAAGCATCGTTATATAACTTCTACTAACATGCACGTCTTTTCTTCATCTAACATGTTTGTGTTTCAAACATAGATTTTTTTAAGTTATATTTCTCACTCCTTGAAGCATTTGTAATTCTTGTGAAATGCTTAAAATGCTTCACTATTATGGTTTCAAAAGAAAAGATCCATTGTTAATTAAATGAAAATAATGTTTTATTTGAACATCTCATTAACTTACCTCTTGTTTCTTTTCTAAACTGTAGGATTAGGTTCTGCAAGTAAATCTATCTGACTATGGGAGTCTGTAAGATTGTCTTAGTATTATGAAGAAGGTCCATGAGTAGAAAAAGGTTGAGAACCATTGGAAATAAAACTTTCTACATAAGATGCTGCTATAGCTAGCAACTAGTTAAAAAAAGAATTATGTAAGTAATTAAGGCTACAACAAAATTAATTTAATGTAGTAACTTGTACTGTTCTTAGTGGCTGGTTGGAAGAGATGTGAATAAAAACTGTTAGTTGAATTATTGATCTATAGGAGAATAATAATAATAGTAAATCTGTGTTAAATAGCACAATATGATAGATAGTATGAGGTTCCAGGTATTTTTTAGAAATAAATTGTGGATATTGTGTTTGTTCAAGAGGCCAGTAGATGTAATCTTTGGTTTCTAAATTTAGCACTTTGTATATTGTTTCAGAGAATCATTCTAAAACACTAAAATTGTAAAAGTTCCATTTTTTGCATCCTGTAAGCATTTAGTGTTTTTTTTTAAGAGAGGAGTTTGTAGTAAGTAAAGTACAAGCTGTTAATGAATGTTCTTAGACTTTGTAGCTAGTAATAAGTTGTTGTCCAGTGAAAGAAATTTGGAGAGTATTATAATTTCCATAGGAATTTTTGTTGGTATGGAAGAAAATAATAGGCTCTTGTTATAAACTTATACATTTCTAGAGAGCATGACTGTGATTTATCAAAAGAGGGACACTTTATTCAAAGTAGAAATGATCATCAATTTCCAAGTTCTTCAAATGCAGTCTATATATAACTTTTCATTATATAGTGGTGATAATGGTGATATTATTTAGATATGAAGTTATACATATATATTTCAAGTTCTGTCCATCCTAAAGTGGGATAAAGTTGTGTACATGTATATATACTTAAGTACAGCTGTTTAAAGGTTTACTTTGAATGGTATGAGAGACAACCTGTATTTAAACTTTTTCTTAATATAGGTGTAAACAAAACAAGATTTATTGTAGATGTGAAACCTGAATTAAAGATACTTGTAGTTTTGTTTGAAAAATGAATATATATTATATTATGTAGACATTTATAATGTAGAATCTGTATGTGTCTAATAGTTGAAAATCTAATGTATCTCAGTATTTCATATATGAAAAGAAAGAAAAAAACAAGTAAGGAAACATTATTGACCTAGCACTAAGATCTACCTAGTCTTATTTCAAGAATCCAAAGAGTTATTGTATTGGTTAGTTATGCCCAGAAGCTGTGTATTACAGTGTTAGTTGTGTGGATTAGTCATGTCCGTATGTTGTGCATTAAAGACTGAATGAAATTGAGATATTTTTTTTCATCATCTAACAAGATCTCCTTAACTTTTGTAAAAAGACTGTGGGCAGTGCCTTGAGTATTGGCTAAAACTGTTTAAAAGTGATGTTAACTATTTATTACAGACATAAAAGTTTTGATCTGGTGTCATAGTAACTTGTCAGCTAAAAATGTTGAAGATAGACAGGAAAAAACAAAAGTAGTTTTTTAATTCAAGTAGTAGCCATAAATTATTAGTATTTAAAAAAAGGTTAACAGGTGCAATGAACACATGCTGATTATGATATATACTACTTTTCTCAGGATAAATTATTGTGACTTGGTAACATTATTATCCTTTTATCTTCATCAGAGAAGATACACAGATGTGAACCAATTTACTTGTGCCACTCTGCCAAGTCTACCAACAACTCAGTTGTTTATAACGTCTCTCATAACAGGGTGGAATTTTAGTGAATTTCCTTTGCTACTCATCAGTCAGTTTAATTTGCACAAAGGAAAGCTATTTATAAGAAAACAGTTAAAAAAACAACAAATTGTGTCATACTAATACAGCTAGTGTTTAAATGTTTTGGTCACTATGACAATAAATTGGAATGTCCTAGGTTATGATCCAAGGTAACTGATAACTCACTGTCTTTGACGTCCATAATATACAAGTTATTGTCAATACCAGAGTAAAAGTTATTTCATGGGGCTTTTGCAACTGTAAGTATTGTGATACTTAATTTTATTAATGGGTTTACCTAAAGGAGAAGTACATCAGTGTACAACTATGTTCTATCACATTGCATTTGACTGTCTTTAAATAGAGGAAGTTAGAAATCTAAAAAAAAAAAGAGATTTATTCCTGTGTTAATAGAATTATAGACTAGAGCCCGTAAATAGTTACTTTGTTACATTTATATAAAAAAAACTTGCACTTAAAACTGAGAAGTGTATTTGATAGAAAATTTTTGTAATTTTTAGAAATTTAAAGATCTTGTATATTTTCTATACTTCTTCACAGTTTCAGTTTTACAGCTAATGCTTTTACTCAGTTTTTGCTACATTTCTAGTTAAGCAACAGTACGTGGACTTGTGTAAAATATGTCTTGTTTTCTATTTTTTTCAGTCTTGGTGTACGTGAGTGATTTCTGTGAAATTTGCAGCAAGGTTGTACTGTATGATATATGTATACATATTTTTTACTTCTGTCTTTGGTGCATTTCATTGTAGGGAGATCTGTGAGTTCAAGTGGCCAAACATTTACAAATGCTACAACACAGGAAAGAGTTAAACTTATTTTATAATAGTTGATCTACTATTTTTGTTCTAAATTATAAAAAGTGAGATAACAAATAAATATGAGTTAAAAAGGTTAGTTTGGAAACTTGATTTGAGGATTTGTTTTGTCGAAAATTTACTTTTGAAGAATCAAAGAGTCAATAAAATATTCCAAATTTGCTTTATGTGCTAAGACATTAGTTAACTAATAAATGTAGTATGAAACACATTTTAACTATGCCATATTAATTTATTTAAAACATAAAAACTTCTTTTTGTATCGCTCTTGTGGGAACAACAGTTCAAAATTATTGCAGTAGTCACCAACTTAAAGATTTATCTATGTAACAATTCATTGAGCCACCATGTTAGACACTCAGGGCATTGTAATAAGATGAAATTTGATTATTTGTAAAAATGTTTATGCAGTGTTTTGTCACATTGTCGAAGGAATTGTCTGATTGTTTCTCATGTTCACAGGAGAATGAAGATGTACTTTTAAACGTTTCATGGGAATGGTTTGTGATAGTTTATAAACATTTCTTTAAGTAACAGCTGCTTATCTTTCCAGCTATTTACACTAAAGTTTTTATTACTATTTAAATTTTTTTAAGAATAGTGTTTATTGAAGTGAAAACAAGTCACGTTTCTGAATAAACATTTTTTTTGTTTTTTATTGCTGTAGTGTGAAAAGATATGTATTAAATTCTCTGTACTTTTAAGTATCGGTGTATTATTATTACTTTCAAATGTAAAGATTCTTGTGAATTTTGTTTATCCTCTTACATAATATGTTATGGTAACTCCCAGAAGTGGGTCAAAATATTGTATACATTTGTTATAGATACAATATTAAAATTAGGTTTTTAATATTTTAAACATAGTCTAGAACTTTGTTAATAGTTGCACAAAATCAAGGTTATATAGTATCTAGCTTAACCAGTCAAAACAAAGTTATCAAAAAGTGTTGTTGCTCACAACTGGTAGTGAAAAAATATTTTGACTTTGTTACGAATTTCGAACGTGTATTTATAATAAAATTATGCAGTACCTCATGTATTTTGAACAAAAAATGTTGAATAATTTAACAGAAAAAGTTTTAGTGAAAAATGTAGGAGTTTTTGTTTTAGTACTTTTAACTAAAAGTTTCTCATCATTTGATAGACATTTCAATATACATTCATTAAAATGGAAGGTATGTCATTAAGCAGTATGTCAAAATTATTTTAAGATTTATCTAATTATTCATTATTTTGTCTTCATATTTGAAGATTCTAACACCACTGCATTGGATAATGATTGTATCTGTGCTACTTTTTCAAATCAGATGAAAGTCTTAATATAGTATTTCACAATCCTAGATTGTCTTTGTAAGAGTGACCATTCATATTGTACATATTCTGGGGGTGATTAACTCCCAGTCCTTACCAATTTCTACAAATTTCTGCAATACCTCTTCACTGGGGTATGTTCACACCTGGAGTACAGAAGCCTGGCCAAACAAGTACATGCTTTCTTGAATGATAACTGTAGTGCATTATTTTAGCATTAGATTGCAATTTAAGCAAGTATACGGCTATTCACATCTTGTTCACAACTTTGTTAACTAATTGCAGATCACATTCATGAAAAACCTCTTGTCGTAGAAATGTAGAACCTGTCATTTTTTAACTTACTAACTTATCTTAGTGCCTTCATAGGCCTAAACCTCAAAGTTAAGTATACTTTTGGTTTCTATAATATTCCTTTCAGTGTTATATCTAATAAAACTGAAAGGAATATAAGCAAGTAAGACAGAATATTTTTTTTTCATTTACATTTAAGCAGAACAATTAAAGACCAACCATCAAAACTAAAGTTTCACTTTGAGTCAAAATCCAAAATCCAGCAGATCATACATTCTCAGATGGTATAAATGCTAAAGAAAAAATATTAAATTTAAATCAAATGGTAAATAAATGAAAATTTGAGTAACATGTAAAGAAAAATCATAATCATTTAACTGAAATGTAATTAAAGAAAACTTGTAATTGAACAAGGTAGGGTCTTAACTTGGTGAAATTTTAAATTGTGTGATAAATAAATATATGAATGAAATAAAATTTTAAAATATAAAACCAAGCACAGAACTCATAAACGTTACACATATAGACCTAACTCAATTTTTAAGGGATTTAAAAGCCAGATCCCCAGTGGCACAGTGTTATGTCTGCGGACTTACAGCGCTAGAAACCAAGTTTTGATACCCATGATGAGCAGAGCACAGATAGCTCATTGTGTAGCTTTGTGCTTAATTACAAAGAAACAAATCAAAAGCCAGTAGCTACTATCCAACTTTTGTCTTTGTTTAAAGCTTTCAGTGTGCTGGGACAGCATCTACTCCTCCATCCAGTAAGTGGTTTGGTCCTATCTGTCATGTTTCCAAGTAATGACCTCCCTAGGTTCAAATCCATCAGTATATTGTGAAAGGCCCAGTTTTGCAGGTTAAGACTTTGAAAATAGTTTTCTTCTCCTAATAATCATGGTAATTCTTTACTTTATTCTTCCTCTGACTCTTGTCCCATTGGCTTGGGTGAGGTTTGCAGTGGTCTTGTTGAAGGCGAACTAAGAAATCTGTTCTTCACTGGCTTATAGTGTCAAATTGTTGAACTATACACTGTATCATTTTTGATGCTATCTTTATCCTGGGTACAACAGGAAATGCCTAAGCTGCCTGCAAACTGGATTTGGATCCACTATTTTTCACTGGAATGACAGCTGTCAACTATGGTGGCTCATTGGATCTAACCTAAAAGATCAAAGCTTTTAACTGCTAGTTTTTGTAGATTAAGTAGTTGATGGGTTTGGGGCAAGAAGGCTCACCTCTTTCATCATTGGTTCTTTAGTTTTTATATTTAAAATAATTGGGTGTGAACAGTTATACAGCTGCTGTTATTTGCTAGGTAGTAAAGTAAACTTAAAAACTACCCTACACAATTATGCATGTAGTAATATTGCCCAGGTTTTTTACAATACTCATTGCCATTTCTGCTGTAGGCTGGTGGAAAAATATTCAATAATAATAAAGAAGAACAAAAGGGTAAACCCTATTATGAACCACTAACATGATTCATGATAATATAAGCTCAGAGGCATACATAATCAACTATTCAGTGCTGAACTACTTGATCATGTGATCTTTTTTTTTGTTGTTCTGCAAGACGTGAGAATAAAAACTTTAATAAATGATAATAAAGAATAAGCTGACACGTCTGAATGAAAACTTTTTCTAGTTTATTTTGTGCAAGGTTTTGAACAGACACCCTTCATCAGCTTCTTGAACATCTGAGGCTACTTGTTGAAAATTGTGCTACAAGTATGAACTCAACATGAAAATAAAAAGTCAAAGAATTCTTGTACTGAGAAGTCTAACTGAACAAAAAACTAGACCTAAGACTGCTTTTCTCTCTCATAAGGGATGGTATAAATTTTATGTCATGCTATTCAGTCTGTGTAATGTACCTTCCACTTTTGAAAAGCTAATGGAGCTTACATTGAGAGGGATAGAATAAGAGGGATATATCATTGATATGAATGACATTTTGTTTTGTTTTCCAAATTTCAGACTGCTATTGAGAACCTGAGAATAGAATTTTAGCATATTAATTTAATGATTCAGATTTGAAATGGAAACATTGAAAGTGGAATTTCTTGGTCACATGGTAGGCAAGGATAAAGAGTTCATTGGGCCTCTGAAGATTGCAGTGGTCAATGTCTACCCCAAGCTAAGACTAAAATAAGAAATCCACAGCCTTCATGTCACACTATCAATGATTTGTGAGACCATTATCAGGTCTGATGAAACTGGTCTACACTTTGGATAGACAAACAAATGTGAACAAGCATTCCAGTTCTTATAGTGTCTTGGCTTATCTTTGTCAAGGCTGTCCATTCATCTTAATACTGATCTGATTCTAATGATAATGGAATTGGAACAATGTTGTTATGGATGCAAATGGTATGAAGTATGATGCAATCAAATATGTGAACTATATGCTAACAGCTCCTGAAACTGATATTGTATGACTAAAATAATTGATTGTAATCAGAGTATTTGTCAAACATCATCATCACACCACTACTTGTAAAGAAGGAAGTTCACTACTCTAGTGGATCATGCATCACTGAAATTGCTGACGACTTCAAGTACATAAGAGGTATGATTGTGCTCTGACACTGTAAGAGACAGCTTTATTGTGCAACATTAAAGGGGCTAGCAACAAATAATTTCTGATGGTATATACATACATCATCAGCTGATGGCAGAATGTGTGAATCCTGAACACTGAGCAGTCGTTAAAACAGCAGTAATAATATATTATATGAATGGTAGCAATTCTGCTTATATTTGAAGCATCATAAAAAAGAAACTAGAGGGCCTGTATTGAGCTTCAGAACTACATGCACAAAAAATTTGATGCTTATATAATCAGATCTAAGTGCAGGGGAGGTGTTTATACCATACTGCCTTTATGAGTGACTGAAGTGTGATATTTGACCTATATTGCCGCTAGTGGTCCCCATAGTTCTAAGATATGAAATGCTTTGGAATCTGCATGATATAAGGAGTAGGGT